TGTATGTATGTATGGACATCACAACTCCTGATGCCACCCTTCTGCTTGGAGCGGTGGATCGCATGTCAGTTCCGGTGGTGAAGGCCTCAAGCCAAGCAGCATTCAGGATCACCTCGGCAAGAGCGTGTTTTGGTTCCGACGTCACCCCGACGACACTAACATTTGTGCTAGGATTCGCTGACTCGCTCGTGGCAGAAGCGGAAGCCCTCGCGCTGGGCGACTTGGCACCGAGGGACGGGTTGAAACCAACCTCACCTCCAATGAGGGTCAAGGTGATGACCACGGCAGTTGAGGAAAACATCGGCAAGGGCATGAGCCAGAAGGTAAAACCCGAGAACCAAGAGAGGATTTGTCGCTTCTGGGGTGCAGATGATGGTTGCCAGAAGGGGCAAGACTGTTGGTTCAAGCATGATTGGAGCGGAGTTGAAAAGAAAGGGAAACGCTTTGGTTGTTCAGCGAGTGGACACGCCAAAAATAGAAGAATGCCCAGGCCCATGGTCCAAACGCAAGATGAAGGATCGGGCGAAAAGCAGGTGACAAACTTGAAACCGGAACCATCCTCAACACCGTCGACGAAGAGGGGAAGGGATCTGACCTGGTGACAGGGAAGGACGCAATCAGGCTCGGGGGAGCAAACCCCCCGTGAATTCAGTGATGTGAAGGAACTACTGGCAGAGGCAACTACTCTCTTGAAGAGCTTGCAACCATCCACGGGCCTGACGGTCAGGGCCATTCGCTTGAGCTACTGGAGGTGTATGTGTGTATGTATGTATTTATTTATTTATTTATTTTTTTTATTTATGTAATTATGTTTTTACTTGTTTATTTATTTGCTTATTTATGGATTACACCAACAGTTGACCATGCAGTTTTTCTTCTTGTGATGGCTTCTTCTCGCAGGACACGTCCTTGAAGTCGTCGTTGCCTTTCGCCAATCCTGACCGCTGCAAAGAATGGCGGCAGGATCGGCAACTGGTGCTTGCTGACATCACCTTGCTCAAGTTGTTTTTTTAAGTATATATACTCTTAGTACCACGTAAACCCAATGACACTGACACTTGACTTGTTCAACATCAGCCATTTTTGGAGACTATGCATGTGTTTCTGGGCAAGTTACAACCTTCTACCATACAAGTGGCAGCCGTCAGCTGGCAGGAGGCGCTTGCCATCGGGGCTTCCGTTGTAGCCCTTTGGCCGGTGCCCCAGTGGTGTTGAGGTCCGATACGTTGCATGTTGGGAGGCATGTTTTTGACAAGGCAAGGCATCGACCACACAATATTTGCATACGGGCCCCGCGCCTCGCACCAGAAGGTTTTCGGGTTAATTCTCATGACTGATGATTTGGCAAAGCCGGCCAGGTGATTCTGATTTCGACAAGAGCTCTTGTCATTTTCATTTGTTTGTTAGTTGTGCCGATCCACACTCAAGGACCGGCCTTGACTGTGCCTTGGACCCGGGTGTGCGGCCTTTGGAAGATCCCATTGGTTTGTTGAAGGCCAGGCAAGCGAGGCAAGCGAGGCATGCGAGGTATGGGAGGTAAGGTGTTTGTGTTCCTTTTAAGCCTGATTTGGCGCGAAAGGTCAAAATTAAGACCGGCAGGTTAGAGTTGCCTGCAGCTGCGAGAGGGTATTGTGCGTGCGTGCAGGATGCCCATATAATGAGAGGGACGTCGCTAAATCGATCAGTGCAGGATTCAAGATGGCCTAAATCTCGAGCTAGGCTAGCTGGTGGGCTGGCATGCTCAAACAATGCCAAGGAAACCTGAAGTTCAGATCCTCTGCAGTTGTGAGCCTTGCACCACAATCTCTCGCTGTGGGCGACTTGCCCAGATTGCACTGCCCACAGCTCTCCTGGTCGCGCCTGGGGCTGCAGCCCGGTTACCCAGGAATTTTTCAACGAAGGTGTCTTTCGTTTAAATTGGATCCTGTTTACTCAGTTGTGTAGTAAATCAACTTGTAAAAGGTTGACCGACCTAGGTGCACATACTGTAAAGAGAAAGCCGACATTAGTTGGTCGTGCATGGACTGATGCTGTGTAAAAGTTGGGAGCTGCAGTGCTGCCAACGATGCCTCCAATAAGAGTTTGTGACGGTTTTTCTGATTTGTGCACTCAATAGATTGAACTTGGACCGAAAGGCTCGAAGGTTATCTTTTTCTTTTTGCCTTTCGGTGCACTTTTAGCTTGGAGAGGTGGCGGCCTGCGCGTGCCACGGCTGATGTGAGATGTTGAGCTAGATGCTGTTGGGCCTCGTGGTGGTTCAAATAAGGGTTTGTTGCGGGCTTTAAGTTAGCAAGGATTGCAATGAAGTTGCACATGAGTTGTGGGGTTGAAACTATAGAGTTGTAGTCCCTTTTAGCAGTCGTGGCGAGTCTTACCCAGACTGTGCACGTTTTTCGAAATTTGGGGTGAGAGGAAGGGTGCGTGACTGAAAGCAGCCCTGCCAACATAATTCTTTCTAGCACGCTTGCTGGAATTGTTTCCGCGGTGTGTGTTGTCCAAACACAGAGGTTTGGTTCGTCATAAAGTTTGGCTTTCCTATGCTCTTGGATCCGCATGTCCATCTCCCAACCATGACCAGGACTTCTGACAATCCCTTGGCATCAGAGGTGTCACCAAGCACCTGAGGCGTTTGAAGCCCACGCCTGCTGACTTCAAGGGACCCGCTGGGGTGGTGATGGCTGGTGGGCCCAGAACAGCTTCGGCCAGCTGACATTTCTGTGAGTCGACGGGGCATGGGTCAAGACACGGGCAGCCGGGCAGTGACGCCAGGCAGTCGGTCTTTCTTTCTTTCTTTCTTTCTTTGTGGTTGTGAATTGAATACCACAGCAAACTCATATCCATTGTGAGTGACCTCAGCAGATCAACGCTGCTTCAGAATATCCGTTGTTCAAGGATATAACGTGTTGCCACATGAAACGAGCTGGATGCCTGTGACTTCTGAAACGTCCCAGCAGGGTCAGCCCAGCAGGGTCAGGGCGTCACTGCAGCGCTTGGGAACTCTAGTTGAATCTGAGGTCGGTGACAGCCTGACGCCACCTGGCGCAATTCAGGCATGTAAATTTTCATGTGGCAACTTTTGCTGGAGGCAAAATTTTAATGTTTTGAAAAAAACCCTTTTAATCAACACTGATAGAGAAGACCCACCTCTCTGAGCTTGAGACAAGTTGTCATCTCATGCTCATAACGTTTTGCATCCATTTCCAAGATTTTCCTGCATAGGGTGGTGTGGACCATTTTTGTGCGCACCGTGCGTGCTCACTGCCGAAGTGTACCTAGTGAGATTTTTCCATATCTTTCCGTTGTTTTGGCCAATTTCGTGCTTTGTCAGTGGTTCCCCAAGGCAAGGCACGGTCTCTGCCAACGTCCTCGAGGTCGGCCGGACTCCGGATTGACTGCACCGAAGATCCACGGGTTGCCCCTCCAAGGGGTGCAATGGGTTTGCTTTAAAGTCCCTAGCTGTGCTTTTGGGATGCCATTTTCCCGGTTGTACTGCGATCCTCTTTTTCCATAGCGCTCTCTCCCAAAAATGGTAAAGGAATCCAGCCGGTGTAAATTCAAAACAGACCCCTGAAGAAGAGCCGGCCCTACCAGTTTCGCCGTTGGTTGCAGTATTCTGAACTTTGGGGGACTTTTTGGACGTGTGGTAGGAAATCAACGAGCAGTTAACAGTTAATTCGACGCCCAGTGAGACTTTGGGCTTTGTATGTGCGGCCATCTGTGTCAAAGCCCACGGCCAAACAAGGATTTCACCAACTCGTCTGCGTGCTCCCTTGACCGGGGATATTGACCTGTTTCGAGGGCCTTCCCCTCAAAGCGGCCGTGGCGTGGCTTGTCCAGGTCCTGGCAGAGCGTGGCCGCAGACGTGGGACGCTTGGTGGTGGTGGTGGTGGTGGTGGTGGTGTGCGACGAGACTTTTGCAAAAAAAACTGGAATCTGTAGGATCCAATCTTCAGACAATGCAACCTTCCAACGTTCCAGAAGGAGGCATTTTAGGAGCTCGTCTTCCGAATCACAACACCAGGTTTGCAGGATAGACATGTCTTATGTAATTGCAGTGTTTCCTTTCCGAGTGGCTTGGACAATCGTCAAAGGTCATGAAACGTCACCAACTCATTTATCCAAACAACAGGAAGACCAGGAACTTACATTGATACCCGGGCTGTTTGGCTTAGCTTGACAAGAGCTTTGCCTTCGCGAGTGGCTCATTCATACGCACCGGATTGAAGGCAAGCTCGATAGAAGGATTTGTTGGGTAGTCCGGTGGGTCTTGTGATCATATTGACTGAGTCACACCTTGAGGTGGTCAAACTCTTGGATCTTTGGTGAATGGCGGCGTGACGCTCAGGTTTTTGTACTGCTCCGGAATGGCTGCTGGCACTGTTGAATGAATTTTGACACTGTCTCTGAAGAAGTCATTCAAGTATGGCTAGTGCGAAGGTTTCTTGGCTGAAATCTGCCAGGTCAATCAAAGGTTGATGACTCGATGACCTCATTCGTCTTGATATTATCAATATATACACTCCCTAAAACTAACATAGACCCTGACAATGGTCCCGTGGAAGACTATTTTCCTCTACCGACCAGGGGTTTTCAGGTTCCATGTTAGTCTTCCAGGGTGTACTTAATATATCTATATATATATAGATATTAATATATTATCTATCCATCTATCTCTATCTCTCTCTCTATATATTTTTATGAGACACTGAGAAACTGAGAAACTCTTCTATGAGGCCTGAACTTCCGCGCCCTGAGCGATGTGGGTCCAGAGCTGCTTCAAAGGGCCGCTGACTTGAAACCCAGCTGCCGCCTGAGGTAAATCGACTTGGTTATTCAAGTGTGGAGAATTCCCAGCTCGCTCTAAACTTTTCGAACATTATCCGCCTTGAGTTCCTTCAACAGAAAACGAGAAAAGGATGTGTTCTGAACCGGTGGTTTTGGGTGAGGGCATGGTGACCACATGATGTGTCATACCTCGTCTAGGTCATGGGTTGGTCCTTCAGCTGGGGTCCAATGTGCGGGGCCTGGAGCGAGGAACCGGGAGGTCCCAGGGCGGTCTGACCCGAAGGACGCGAAGGACGCAGGTGCGAAGCCGAAGAATTCGAAAGAACCCATTGCGAACCCACGCCGCCTTTTACAGAACAGTTTTGTGAGCCAATAACATCCGGAAGTTGTCTCTTTTTTGCGGGTTGTGGGATACTGGATGTGGGATGATTCTGGCAAATGCCAGTCTTCAACTGGACCAAAAGCAAGCCACTTGACCATGGCCAAAGAGGCAAGTAAACCCTGGATGGACCCTGTTTTGCTCGAGAAAAGGCCCAAGTAATTGGGCATAGCAATGTTCAAAGTCGGGGAGCTCTTCTTGCAACAAAAAGGCATGGTGGCATGAGTGGAGCAGAAGAATGCTTGCAAGCTGCAGCGTCCAAACAAAGGTCCCATGGATGGTTGGGGATCGCTGACTTTTGCGCCTCTGTGCCAATCTGCGGACTGTCTCCGTGTGAGGACCTCATCCGGTACTTGGCAGCCCCCGAGTGGCTTCGCCCTGCAGAGGAGGAGGGGGTGCGTGGAACATATGAAAACCCAGCTGCTTTTGAATCAGGGCCTTTGGGCATCCAACTTGCGAGACAGACATGGTTCTTTCATGTTCTTTCTTTAAAGACGCATCATCAGCCACTGTGCAAGCTGAAGGGACTTTTCAAGTGTGGTATGGTGCAGAAGCAATAAACTGGATAGTTGGACCCAGCGTATCTGGGTGTGATTTTCCTGCTTCCTGTCCTATGTGTTGGTCTTCTTCACCAGGAGTGGTTGCAGACCTATGCTGAGCAGATGCGCCAGGAGCGGGTCGAATTGGGGCTCACTGGGCTGCGGCTGAGGTGGCATTTCATGCTTTTCTGGTGAGTCTGTCCCATTGAAAGCCAACGTTTCCAAATTCACCTTGGGGTGTTCCAACTTAAGCATGTTAAACCTTTCCATTGCCTGCACAGATGAACGCTGGAGGCGGCACTGGAGCTCCGCTGCGGTGGTGAAGTGCTTCTGGTGTCTCCCCCGCCCTTGGGCGAGGCATGAGAGTGTGAGCTCTGGCAAAGCCACATCCGGGATACACTTTAGGGATTTTTCCCTTGGACATAGTTAAAGGCAAAGTTGTATGCAACGGCAATTGTTTGAACATGAGAAGATTGATGTATGCAGACTGCTATCCTCTTGAGTCGGACTGCTATCTCTAGAGATGTGTTTTGTTTAGTCTCGGGCAATGCGGTCCCGGCCTCTCGACGTTGCCTTCTTCTTTTTCCTGAGAAATGAGAAACCAAATAAATAGTATGTGAGCTGTCCTGCATCCTATCTAGTAGCAGGTTACCTAATAGTTAATAGCTTTACTTAATTAAGTAGTAGGGGGGCGGCCACCGGCGGGCTTACAAGAGGCGCTGGGCTCGCTGGAGTTCGACTTGGGCGCCAAAATGGCAAAGGCCGTGGAGGCGGTTGCAGCGGACGTGGGCTGTGGCTATGTGCCCCTCTTCGAGGCGAGTCAAGCGTGAAGCGGAGCGACGGGGGCGCACCGGAGCTGGGGCACGACGGAGCTTTGGGGCAGTTCGGCGATCTCATCGTCATGGAGAGCTTATGGCAGGGGTATTGCAGGAGTTACGACGACTGCTCGAGAGAACCACATGTGTGGCACAAACGGAAGTCAATCCATTTGTGGCAAGCGGCAAGCAGTTGCTAGGCCTGTGTGAAGTTTCTCCAGCGCAGCAGGGAGGTGGACAGCTCTGCTGGGACTCGTGATGAGCTCAGATGCACATGCATGGAAGACCAATTCGATTCCAAGCTTTTCCGATTCTTGATGTGGAGTCCTTGAGGTGGCTATTCTTTAGCAGAGTTTTTGCCACGGCTGTGCCTGCTGCCTTGGCGGCTCTATGTGGGACAGCAGAGCTTAAGTCAGATCCAGGCGTGTCCGATACTGCCTTGCTGGCGTTTCTTTTCGAGGAATGACGGCGCCATAGGTTGGCGGCGGCTTTTGAAGGACTGTGGCTTTGGGGGGGATGCAATCAACTACTTAGCTACTTGAAGCTTGAAGCATCAAACTGCCAGCAAAAGCAGCTTCTTCAGAATTCTCAAGAGCCAGGGATTGCTGGTATGCCAAGCTGCAGGCCGAGGAAGAAACAAAGCTTACGTTGGACTTGGTGCACTTTGGAGATAGCTATGCTCAACTGGCGGCCGACTTGTTGGAAGAGACTCTTGGAGCATGGAGAGACAGAGTAACCGAGAGAGGCGACCGTGGCATTTGTGCTTTGCAGGTGTGAAAGTTGGGATTTCTTTGACAGATCCCAGCATCGGGACCGACGTGCACCCACCAATGCTGACATGAGTTCTCCCCAACAGTCCTCCCTGGTCGGCTCCAAGGCATTCTCCTGGAGGAAAGCCCAGTTTCTATTTTTGGAGGCTTTTAGCTGGTAGAGAGTTCTGTCTTCGTTGACAGTTGCAGAGATTGCCAGGCAACCAAGAATGTGGTGCCGTGCACATTTGGGGCACAATACTTGGGTTGTGTTTCGTTAAGTGTGCTCTTCTTCGGAAGTCTCCTGTGAAGCGCTGGTTCGGAAGATTTAGGGTCGTCGAATTCTCGCCAGAGCTCTCCCAGAGTTCTCGAAGGCGCTCCGGGATGAGTTCAACGAATAAAGGGCTTGGATCGTCATGACTTGTCGTCTCGCGCGGTGCTCCAACGGGGAAGTCCCGGGCCCGGAACCCAAGAGTAGGCTGACCACCACACCACCACATCACATCACGCCAGAGGACCAAGGCACACCACACACACACACACACTTCCGCAAAAGTTTTCCAACCTCCAATCTGGACACGACCTTTGTTACACCAACCTGTTTGAGGTTTCTTGCTGGCACAATCAGCACTTCAAGAAAGAATAGAATAACGAAAAGGAAAAAGGAAAGGGAAGGGAAGGGAAGGGAAGGGAAGGAAGGAAGAAAGAAAGACAGAAACATACAAAGACACAGAACAACTAGACGACGAGTGGCCCGAAAGCATTTTTCATCACGTAGGAAGTCAGAGTGCGAGTTATCCGGTAAGTGTGCAGTGAGAAGTGTGAAGTCGAGTGAGTTGAGGTAGTGTGTGGGTTTCTGTGCGTGTGTCTATGTCCGTGTGGAAATGAGTCTGCGTATGTGTGTGTTCGTGTAAGTTGAGGGAGTGTGTGGGTGTCTGTGTGTGATGCGGCCTCCCAAACCCCCCACCGGCGGCCAAGCGGTGACAGCCCAGCTCATCGTCGCGAGCATTTGGGCTGCTGGTAATGGGACAATGGCAGCCAGCGTGCTGGCTTACCCACTTCAACTATGATGGCAGCC